ATTAAAACAAATTTCCGGAAGTTCTCTCATTTTGATTCTTTCTCCCTAGTGTGTGTTTAAACATAACAGAGAGGGGAAGGTGGAGGTGGTAGTGGGCTGTGTGTGTGTGTGTGTGTGTGTGTGTGTGTGTGATGGATGAAGTGACAGGATGCATAGATAAGAAAAAAATTTGCCTTTCCAATAAATTAAGACACTTTCCTTGATTTTATTCAACTGTAGAAACCAAGCAAAATACAAAAGTAAGAAAAGAATAAAATGTCAAAAGGGAAAGAAAAAGTAAAATACAATAATTAAAAAGGTACAACCAGCAAGCCATAATCTTATCAAGAAGTCCTAAACTACCTAAAAAATCTACCTGTTACATTTCCTTTTATACCCTTGGAGCTGATTGAGGACCTTTGTTTCTATCCAATCACAAATCTTTACCACAGCACTGATTATAAGAGAGAGGAAACCAACCAAAGCACTGCTATGCCAACGTGTAAAGCACGCAGATCAACAATGCCAAGAGGAAAGGAGACATCCAAGGACATCAGGAAGAAGGTGGTAGCAGCCCATCAGTCTTGGGAAAGCTACAAGACCAACTCCAAAAGATTCCAGCTCCATCCATCCACTGTAAGATAAATCATTTACAAATGGAGGGCACTAAGCATCACCACGACTCTGCCGAAAAGTGGACGGCCATTAAAACTTTCACCAAGAAGCACCAGAAAAATAATAAACCAGGTAAAGGCCAACCCACACATCACCTCTGGAGAGTTACAGACCTCTCTGGCAGCATCTGCGATAAATGTACGTGTCTACAATCAGGCGAAAAAGGAATAGACACGGCATTCATGGGAGAGTTGCTAGAAGGAAGTCACTGCTCTCAAGACAGAAGAAAGTTGCTTGTTTGAACTTTGCCAGACAGCATTTGGACAAACCAGAGGCCTTCTGGAAATCCATTCACTGGACATCCATCCATCATCCATACACTTCTTAATCCACACTAGAGACAAACAAACACACTCACATTCACGCCTATGGACAATTTAAAAACACCAGTTAACCTCAGCATGATTCAAGACTGTGGGAGGAAGCCTGAGAATCTGGTGAGAACCCATGCTGCACAAATCTCAGACATCCTAACCACGATGCAAATCGGGGATCTTCTAGCTGCAAGGCAACGGTGCTAACCACCGAGCCTGAGCAGCCCATTCTCTGGACAGACCACAAGCGCCATGTTTGGAGGAAAGTCAACACTGCATAGCAAAGTAGAACCTCCTCCCAACAGTGAAGCATGGTGATGGAAATGTGAAGGTCTGCACTTGCTTTTTTGCCTCTGGGCCTGGGCGACTCCATACTATCCAGGAAACCATGAATTCTCAACAAATTCTTGACCAGAAAATCCTGCCATCAGTCAGGGAGTTGAAGCTGGGACAGAAATGGATTATCCAACAAGACAACAACCCAAAGCATTACAGCAAAATTACCAGGGAATGGTTTAAAAGAAAGAATATTCGCACTCTGGATTAGCCCAAAGTCTGAACCTCAATCCCATAGAAATGCTGTGAGACCTGAAGTGGGCGGTACATGCCAGATGTCCCTCCAGCCTCTTTCAACTGGCTGAGATCTGCAAGGAGGAGCAAGCAAAGATCCACATGAGCAGATGTGGAACACTGGTTCGTGATTACAGAAGATGACTGGCTGAAGTAATGGCTGTAAAAGGGGGTGCCACAAGGTAATAATTAAAAGGGTTCATAGTAGATTTCAGTTTTTTGAGAGATAAATTACTTTTGTTGAAAAAATCATGAAAATATTTCTGTTTTTTTTCTGCGTGTTCCTTATTTGGAAAATCTGCTTTTCAAATTGGGATTTGGATGTTCATTTCTCAAGGATATTTGAATTATTTTTTTACACAAACAATGGCAATGTTTGGTGGGTTCACAAACTTTCAAGCAGCACTGTATGTCTGATGTCAGATGTAACTGAATCCAATGTTTCTGTGACTTCCCAAACAGACTGAGGGCTTCTGGAAACTGTCCAACTGACAACAGAATTTCTGCTTTGTCCCCTGCAGTTGCAATCAACTGCTTGAATTGATTGATTCCATACACTGCCTGGCCAAAAAAAAAGTCGCCACCAAAAAAAAAAGGTCATACACTCTAATACTTTGTTGGACCGCCTTTAGCTTTGATTACGGCACGCATTCGCTGTGGCATTGTTTCGATAAGCTTCTGCAATGTCAAAAGATTTATTTCCATCCAGTGTTGCATGAATTTTTCACCAAGATCTTGCGTTGATGATGGTAGAGTCTGACCGCTGCGCAAAGCCCTCTCTAGCACATCTCAAAGATTCTCAATGGGGTTGAGGTCTGGACTCTGTGGTAGCCAATCCATGTGTGAAAATGATGTGTCATGCTCCCTGAACCAGTCTTTCACAACTTGAGCCTGATGAATCCTGGCATTGTCATCTTGGAATATGCCTGTGCCATCAGGGAAGAAAAAGTCCATTGATGGAATAACCTGGTCATTCAGTATATTCAGGTAGTCAGTTGACCTCATTCTTTGAGCACATACTGTTGCTGAACCTAGACCTGACCAACTGCAGCAACCCCAGATCATAACACTGCCCCCACAGGCTTGTACAGGAGGCACTAGGCATGATGGGTGCATCACTTCACCTGCCTCTCTTCTTACCCTGATTCGCCCATCACTCTGGAACAGGGTAAATCTGGACTCATCAGACCACATGACCTTCTTCCATTGCTCCACAATCCAATCTTTATGCTCCCTAGAAAATTGAAGCCTTTTTTTCCGGTTAGCCTCACTGATTAGTGGTTTTCTTAAGGCTAAACAGCTGTTCAGTCCCAATCCCGTGAGTTCCCTTCGCATTGTGCGTGTGGAAATGCTCTTACTTTCAGTATTAAACACAGCCCTGAGCTCTACTGTTGTTTTTCTTCGATTTGATCTCACCACACGTTTAAGTGATCGCCGATCACGATCATTCAGGATTTTTTTCCGGCCACATTGTCCCCACTATCCTTCCAGTTTTTAATAATGCGTTGGACAGTTCTTAACCCAATTTTAGTAGTTTCTGCAATCTCTTTAGATGTTTTCTCTGCTTGATGCATGCTAATGATTTGACCCTTCTCAAACAGACTAACATCTTTTCCACGACCACGGGATGTGTCTTTCGACATGGTTGTTTAGGAAATGAGAAGCAAGTCATTGCACCAGTTGGGGTTAAATAACTTGTTGCCAGCTGAAAGATAATCGCCCATGCAGTAATTATCCAATAGGAGGCTCGTACCTATTTGCTTAGTTAAATCCAGGTGGCGACTTTTTTTTTGGCCAGGCAGTGTATTTAGAAGACTGCAACTGACCTCTGACTGATGTGATTTCATACTGGATCATTCCGGCAGAGATCAGTGACTGTGTCAAACATGTCATTTTTGATGTCTGTGAAGATTCTCAGTCATCCAGGTCATGGTTATTCTGGTAGATTAATCGTAGCAACTGGACTTGCTTGAGTTCCTTGAGGATGTTTCACCTCTCATCCAAGAGGCTTCATCAGTTCTGACTGACTAGTTGGGAGTTCCAGATATTTACATCCTTAAGGAGTCATTAACACCTGAGTTTTCAGTTGGAGGTTGTTACTCCTCCCCCTCATTATGCAAGTCTTTAGTGCTCCCCCTACCACAATGGGGTTCGTTAAGGTCTTTTGTGGTTGGGTGTGAATGTGGTTTCATCTTCCTGGGGAGAGATCTTAGGACTGAATTGTAAACAGGTGAGAGGTGATGCCTCAGACCTCTACCTCTGTAAAGGGACGGTGATTTTTGAAACCAACATGAAATGTGAAAAGAGGACAAACTATGGAATTGTACAGTAACAGTGAGGAACATGTCAATACTCTATCTTTTCTTGAAACTATTCAACTGGCTGTAGAAGATATTTGACTTTACGGTGACCAAGACTCCATGAAAGGACACAAACATAGTTTCGCTTCCTGTGCTGGTTACTGATGTCATTAATTCAGTGGTTTGAAAATCAAATTTGACAACAAGCCTCAGCTAACATAAAAGTAGCCAAAAACAGCCAAATATTAGAAATACGTAAGTATTTCTGCAGTGCCATATCGGTGACCCTGTAAAGGGCACAACTGAAGTCAGATGTGTAGAATACCATTTCCTTCAAAAATTCAAATAGAAATCTTAAACATACAGCTGTAACTGTCATAAAATGTCTGATTTCTGGCAGAACACAAATGTAGCACTTTGCTGAAAAGAGCTGGTACGAGCGAGTACAGTGATTGATTTTAATGGCTTCATAAACAACTATATAAAACAGTTCATAAAAATTCATGCACTTTCAGTGTAAATTCATTTGGAAATATAGAGGAAATTTATGTACAAGACTGTGAACCATAACAGTGACTTCATTCAGTTGGGTGGTTCACAAATATACTTGGCTGCATAGAAACATCGACATTATTATTGCCTACACAGAAAATAAACTGAAACTTAAAGGAAAAAAAAGTCATGTAAAAAGTCTAGTTTATTTAAGATCCACCCACGTCTTTTTTCAGACTGCTACTGACAAAAGTCAGTTCCTGCCAACTTACTGATTTTAATACACTGAGACAAAAGAACTAAGCACTAGTGAATAAAACTGAGCATTGTCAAAGAACTTTCCCTTTACCAAAAGTTACATTCTGAAAGCATTATCATAAAAGAACTATTTTACAGAAACCCACTTGTAAAACAACAAAAAAGCCTGAGTTCATGGGAAAGAAGAGTTATAATAAATTCAAAAAGCCTGAGGAAAAGACCATTGATTTACTATTTTACAAAAAAATTTACAACAGTATCATTAAAAAAAACCAAACAAAAACAAAACATGATAGAAGTTACTATTAAAAAAAAAAAAAAACACGTCTTTTTTTCTTTCGTTTTTTTTCTTTTTTCTTTTACAGCTATGTTAATTAAATAATTCACGCTTGGTGGAAAAAAAAAGAAAAAAAAAAAAAAAAAAGAAACTGACTAACTGCTGAGGAAATGAAAAATGTTGTGAATGAGGTAATTCAGGTGGTGAGCCTGAGCCCAGACTGGATTCGACCAGACACCTTTATATCACCTTGCAATGTGATTCATGTGACAACTGACTTCTCATTGAGTTAACACTTAAATAAGGTAGATAATCACATTAAGCATGATAGTGAAACAGAGAATGACAGACAACATAGAGAACAGTCAAATACAGAATCCAGTGTCAAAGGTTGGTGGGAATATGAGGCAGCACTCAGGGTCAATTGTGTCCATTTCCAGAGTTTAAAAAAAAAGAAAAAAAGTTTATAAAAATAACCAAAAACTGTGCTGCATGCTGCTGAACCTACACAACAATGCAGCTTTATACACTCAAATATAAAAATAAGCTTTGATTTTTTTTTATCTGCTGCCTGGTTTGAGCCGCTTCCTGGTGTTCATCTCCCAGGTTCCCGAGATGAGTCGCTGCTGAAGCGAGGAGATGACAGCCATGCTGAACTGACTGATACAGTGCTTCAAACAGCTTCAGTTGGAGACCACAGTCCATGTAAGGCATTTGCTGTGTTACTGAGTCTATGGCTGCTACTAGCAGACCCAGGCAGCTCATGTTATGTCTTGCGGCTGCTCCAGATCTGCTCTGGTGTGCTCCTGTGGTCTGATGAGTAGTCGAAAGGGGAGCGGTGACCCATGGGTGAGCGGGAGTCGTAAGGTGAGCGCTGGTCTCTGGGCGAGCGCGGCCCGCTAGCGGAGGCTCGCTGCTCTGTTTGCCAGTCTGAGTGGTAGCGGTACGAAGAACGATGGTCTAAGTGGGAATGATCCTTTAAATCCAGTCGATGGTCTCTGCTGGTGCGGAACTCCTCCAGCTTCCTGTGCTTATTGTCGTTGTAGTATCTGCACATAGATACATGAGCATCAGTGTGACTCAGTGAAAAGGCAGACAACTGAACACATAAACCAAACTAACAATACTGGTATCCTACTGATAAGTACTGGGCATTTATGGAAAGGCTGACGTATTCTTCTGGAACCAGAGGAACCTCAGAAACTTGGCCAGGCACTTTTCCCCTGAGAAGGTTCCTACAGTGGAAGCACTCTACTCCGGCTCCATATTGTACTAAGCCTGTTACATTTTATGAGCAGGAATTTCTTAGCTTGTGGGTAAAAGTCACAGACATGGATGAACTAACAGATTGTTGACTTGGATCTGCACACGGCACTTTTTGGTGAAAAGAAAAATACAGATTTTCGACGGTTTTATCATTTATTCAGTGGTCTTAAGAGGACTGAATGTCACGTTGTCTAGGCTAAAATGTGAGAGTAAATACTGACACTAACCACCTTCACTATGGTTGTGGAAAAAGTACTTCTTCCGAGTTGCCCTTACCTTTCTTGTCTGTCTCTGTCCCTGCTGTCTGGTCTGTAGTGGTCTCTGTCTCGGTGGTCTTTGCCGTTGCTGAAGGAAGAGTACGGCCTTTTCCTGGACTCTCCTCCTGTGGTCTTCCTATGGGACTCGGAGCTGTGTCGCTCCTTGGTGCTGCTGCTTTCATGGTATCGACCTGAAGGCTGATGTCTGTCTGAGCTGTAGCTGTCCCTGCTGCTTTCATCCTGGTGAGAGTTTTCCTTCAGTCTTTCAATATCTACAAACAAAGACCACAAATAAATCAGTCAACAGAGAAAACAAACTCATCTTTTTTGTGTGTCTCATAACAGTGGGAAACTGACTTTACCTGCATGTTTATAGCCATGGGTGTTTATACTTCTAGTGTTCTGCTCCATTGCCTGAAGAAACAGAAAATCTTTATCAACATGGATTTCTAGTGTCCGCTAATTACAAATGACTGTAGGGCCGTCACATACCTGGGCATTCTCTTGCCTTTTCTTGATTGCATGCTTATACAGTTTATGTAGCTTTCTTGCATCAAACTCAGTGAATTTGGAAACAAATATCCACAGGTTTCTGTAAAAAACAAAACAAAAAAACAAACACTATCAGCTAAATAAATGTAACTTAATAACAGATACTACTCGTGGCGCTCTTCACGTGAACAACTGAGTGCCAGTCACGTGATTTATGGGGAGACGGTGTGAGACTGTGAACTGGTATCCTTGTATTTGAACAATATGCCGTCTCCAGCCTGTATGTTACAGCAGGCACTTCATTCAACCTTCCAATGCGACTGTTTGGAATGACATGAACACTTAGATTTCCGGTTTGTTGTGTGAACCACGTCTTTACTAGCCTATACTCCACATTTTCTGAGACACTTGTTGGTCATCTCAACTTTGTGTGGACCTCGGATAAAATATTTGTTTATGCAAGACTATCATTAGAGTACACTGTGTATACTGACTTTCTCCACTGTTTGATCTGGTCAGGATTTGAATACTCCTTCAGACACTCAGTTATGTGGTCTCCGATCTTTATGAGGCACTGTCGTGTGTGTTCCAGCTGCTCGCGCTCCGACAGTCCTTTCTCTGGTCTGTCCAGTTGTTTCAGGGCTGCTTTCACTGGCCGCATCCTCTCTTTACACTGCAACAAGAGGCAAGAGTTGATATCAGCAAACACACGATCCTTGTTGGTTTTGTTCCTTTGTCATCAAAACGTTTTAACACTTTATTCCACTAGTTAATGATACATTACATATTGAGACAAGACCTCAAATTCATGTACAACACAAAATACATCCATATAAACAGGTTTTGTTTTGCCATGAGATGAGCATTTACCAAAGAATAATTTTTCTATCTGAAAGTTCAAGTATCAGCTGAACATACCACACTGAATGTCCTCTGGTCCAGCTCCTCAGACTCCTCAGATATTGGTACATTCTCTCCGCTAGCTGTAATATGGACCGGCACATCAGACGCTTTCTTCGTCCGTTCTCGTACCTCGGTCTTTACTTCAGTCTGGTGAAAAGAATTCAAGAATTAATCCCAAGTTATCTTTATAGGCGATGTAACTTGCATGGAGTATATTTATCAATTCATTAATTCACTAAAGACATGTAGAACTATTACTTCACCTTTTCCACGCTTTCCTCTTGTTTATGTACCGCCTCCAGAGGCTTCGTTTCTTTTTTCTCTTTTGGCTCCTTTGTTTCTTTAATGTCACAGTTTTCTTCCCTCTTCTCCTTTTTTCCTTCTTTTTTGACCTCTTTTTCTTTGACATCCTTTTCCCCGGATGAAGAAACCTCTTGCTCAGGCTCCTCATCATCGTCATCGTCGTCGTCGTCATCATCGTCGTCATTGTCATCATCGTCATCTTCCTCTTCCTCCTCCTCCTCCATCACCAACCTATCTCCTCGACCCCGTCTGCTCGGTGCCTTCAGTGGTGGTACCTCCTGAAAGAGTAAAAGAATGTGAAGCATATTACCTCTAAACTGAAAACAGAAAACTTTTTTTTCTTTCATTTTAACAACAGAAAGCAACACAGCTCCAGTCCGGAGCTAAATGTACCTTGTCTTCCTCAACTTCATCCTCATCCTCTGACCTCTTGTCAGATGGAGGATCTGAGGAGGGGCTCTTTAACACCTCATCTGTCTTCACTGGCTTCAGAGTTTTGCTCTTTTTATTTCTTGGTTTCCTCTTCCGCGAACTGGCCTACATAGACACAAAAAGACATGGTAGGTTCTGGCAGACACACGGTAATCTATGCAAACAAACATTCTATTAGTGATGCAGAGGAAGCTTGATATATAGAGTAATGCTCAGACTTACTGTCCCTGCTTGTTTCTGTGCTTCTTTTTTGGCCAGGTCCTTGCTCAGTAACTTGATGAGGTAGTCTGCTCTGGTCTGTAGCTGTTTGGCCTGTGGCTTCTTGTCAGGGTCGTCTGGTAGGAGCTGCTCAACATGAGACACAGTGTTGTGTGATTTTAAGGGAAACATGACATTTCAGTGTCAATATGTAAGAAATGAACAGAACACATAATATGAATAAATCAATGTTCTGAGTTTAAAAATGGAATTTCAGTCAAAAATGATGTGTAAATTCTCTAATTTAAAGAAAGATCACATATATATGTTCCTTGTGTGTACATGTGAAATATTTATACATCAATCAGACTTTATTTACCACTTTTCATACAAATAACACACACACGTGCACAAACCTTGTGTGTGAGATTGAGGTCCGGGTCCATCTTAATCATCTCCCAGCTGCCGTAACCATACTCATAGATACCTATGAGAAGGCTCGAGTCGTCCTCCTTCCCCCACTCTATGTCAAAGTGCGCTGCCTTCGAATGGCATGGAATCATATACCTAAACAAACACACAGTTATTAAAAGATACAAATATATTTGTATGTATTAGGCCACATGTTGTACTTGGTGCAGGGCTAGTGGATGTAGAAAACAATATGAAAATGTGTGCCATTAATAGGCTTGTATATGACAACATTTGTTAAAAAAAAAACAAAAAAACAACAACAACAGAAAAAAAAACGTATGAATGAGAGCAAGTCACATGTCTGCCACTGGAGGCCTACAGTGATGTCTAATACCAATTACCTGTAGAAGGTTTACAGGGATTTAACACGTGTAATTCTATTAGGGTGTAGGAATATAAATATCCAAATGATGCCTTTTACCCAAGTTCCCTGTTGTAATAAATCCATTCAGAAAATACCCTCAGATTCAGCCCTGAAAGCTTTCAGACAGAGAGCTTTGCAAGCCTGGACAACAACTGATTTGTTGTATGCTTACACAAGGAGTGAGGGCAAATGTTCTGTCTCAGCTCAGCTGCTTGCCTGTTCCTCCAGTTGTCTGTATCAAGACTGACTTCTAGTGGTACAAGTTGTGCACTACTGTATATCACATCAATAAGCAGCATCTCTGTGTTAGTTCAGTAAATAAGTAGTACATATTGGGTATGTTCTTGATGACACTGGGATTTACTTTGTTCTCTCTCACTGTATCTTTCTGCAGGTTGGCTCTGGAGCTGGAGTTTCTGATCTATGGTTACTGGTCTCATCAACCTGCTCAGTGTTTATTGTTATATTGTTTGTCATTTCTCTCTCTGTCTCTCAGGACTTCATACAAGTCACACAGAACAACAAAAAAAGACATGAAGCTCAGTCTTGGCGAATAGGTGGCACTAGATGAGGAGTCTTACTTTTTTCTCTCTTCAGGATCAGCCGGAATAGCCTTGTGTAGTGGAGCCAGCTCTTCCTCGTGGGAGATTACAAGCTTGGCATTCACCTGGACTCCAGATATCCTGAATGTAGGGCCTTTCACCTTTCCTCTTCTGCCTCCTTATGAGAAAACAAGTAGTTTCATGGTTTAATAGCCGTTAAATTCTGTATGAAACAGCAGTAGAAAATGATTTCACATCTGAGTAACATGATGGTGGACTGTTAGTGAGCAAAATAAAAATGTGTACAGTAACCACAGTATGAATGTCTACAACTGACTGTGAGGCTCGCTTGATTTGCTCTCTGCAAAAATGCTGAAACACTGTCTAGTTCGAGTGACGATGTGCTACTCTTTTCTCCTTTTATCATTACCAGTTATTATGAGTGTTGTGGTGCAGACTGAGCAAAGTGCATGAAGAAATTATAACTATTTTCCACAATTATCTGATTAAATTGACTTAATAAACTAATCATAAACACTTAATAAACGTATGTCCTACTTCTGTGTCGTTTCATATTCATCTGATCTGTTGTTTTGTAGAAAACATTGTAAATATAATATCTAGCAGCATTTGCAACTCTCTTTTTGTTTATTGTTGGTTTTGTTCAAGTCTTTGGTTAAACTAGTCTAAATGTAAGTGACTGGCTGTTTATACACACAGACACAGAATCTCTGACTGTGGGGCAGTCAGGCGTTATCAGTGAGGCCCATCACTGCAGTCCGGTACAACAGAAATTCAAAAGGCACCCAATGGCACTACAGGGGAAAGCTAACAAAGGTTCAAAGCAAGGTGAAAGCAAACCTCAGTTGTTGATATTCCCACAAAAAGCAGAGTTGTTTACTAGCAGTTGCACTGCTGTGTATTAGGAAATGGTCAACAGTCGAAGCTACTTAAATTGCATGGGCAACACACAGACCCACAGAGCTCCAGCTTCATGGCAGGCTCGAGATGGCCTACTGGAGATGGAACGCAGTGTGAGACTCATGAGAGTTTGGCTGCCCGACTTGCAAGCCTGTCTGCAAACCAAACACACAAACTCAAAGGCTGACAGGTACATCTCTCCTGAGGTTGGACACCTATTTCAGCGAAATGTGAGACAAGTATGGGGGTATTTTTCTCCTTGTTCTTTTGATTGAGTGAACAACAGTGAGGGGCACAGAGCACACAACAACTTCTCCACTCTCACTCCAATTGGTCAAGGCAGATGGCCGCCTTCCCTGAGCGTGTTTGTCTTCTTCTTTTTTTTCTTGTCGGAGGTTTTGGTTCCTTCCCACTGTTGCTAACCACTTGCTCTGAGGGAATCCAAAGGCAACTTTGGATTGTTGGGTTCTTTGTTCAAAATTTGTAAGGTCTCACCTTACTATGTTAAGTAAGATTACATATGCTGTGAATTGCACTATATAAATAAAATCGGATTGAACTGAAAAAGTTTTTGCCCCTCTACAGATATCCTCTGTTTTTGCATATGTGTCAAACTTAAATGTTTCAGATCATCAAACTAATTTTAATATAAGACAAAGCTAGTAAGAGACATTATCCATAAATGGAAAAAAACATGGAAAAGTGGTGAAACTTCAAAGGAGTGGCCAGCCAACTAAAACTTCTCCAAGAGAAGAGCATGTTGACATCTCATCCAGGAGGCCACAAAAGAACCCAGACAAACATAAACACTGGCCACAGTTAAGGTCAGTGTACATGATTCCACAATAAGGAAGACACTGGGCAGAAATGACATCAATGGGAGAGTTACAAGGTGCAAACCACTCCTGACCAAAAAGAGCAAAGGCTCATCTGGCATTTGCAAAAAATATCTGGATGAGTCCCAAGACTGTTGGGATAACATCCTGTGGACTGATGAGTTCAAGATGGAACTTTTTGGGAGACATGTGTCCTGATACACCTGGTTTAAAGCATATACTGCTTTCCACAAGAAGAACATCACACCAGCAGTGACACATAGTGGTGGTAGTGGATGGTTTGAGGCAGCTTTGCTTCCACAGGACCTGGACGACTTTTCATAATTGATGCAGCCATGAATTCTGCTCTCTATCAGAAAATCCTCCTGGAGAATATCCGCCCATCAGTTCATGACCTCAAGCTCGAGCACAAAAGGATTTTGCAGTATGACAATGACCCAAAGCACATCAGCAAGTTCATCTCTGAATGGCTCAAAAAGAACAAAACTAAGGTTTAGGAGTGGCCAAGTCAAAGTTGAATGGGAATCCAATTGAGGTGTGGTAGCAAGACTTTAAAGGGGCAGTTCATGCTGGAAAATCATCTTATGTGACTGAATCAAAACTATTCTGCAGAGAAGAGTGGGACAAATTCCTCCATGGCCATGTAAAAGACTGATCACAGGCTATCACAAACGTTTCACTGCAGGTGTTGCTGCAAAGGGTGGCCCAACCAGTTCTTAATTTGATGATCTGGAACACTAAGGCCGAGTAATGTGCAAAAATAGAAGACGATCAGGGAGGAGGCAAATACTTTTTAACAGCGCAGTAGATACAAAACAAAAAACAAGCAAAGAAAGTAGGCAGCTTTTTCAACATAGAATCAAATGAAGGCAAAGAACTGAAATACACAAACAGAGGAACCCATTTTTCACTCATTCTATCGTCAGCCTTTCAAAGTGTATTTAATCTTATTCTTAGGAGTAAAAAGAAGGCACATCCTAGAGCCACAAGGTAGGAGGACAACTATATTTTTGTGAATATTTGAAATATGCAGCTGGATCCAGACTGGCATCGAAGTAGTCTTTAACATTAAAACCACTCAGAGGTGACGTCATTAACATTGTTCATCTTGTCACAATGCAGCTTTCTGCTGGGAAACAGAGGGTCTCAAAGTCCATGACAACAGCTGCTCCACCCAACAGGACAATGTCAACTGACACATGCCAAAAATTGCTCAGTAACGGCTCAAGTAACACAGCAAAGAGCTCACTTCCATGCCTCTAAACTCCCAAGATCTCAATCTAATCAAGAATCCATGGGATGCAACAGAACAAGTCTGGTTCACGGACAACCAACCCAATATTCCAGAGAAACCGAAGCACCCACTGCCAACATCCCAGGGTCACACACCACAGGACACCCTAGGATGTCTGATGCCCATGTCTTCATCGGTCAGAGTTGTTTTGGCAGCACAGTGGGGACCTACACAGTCTTATGCACGTGGTTTTATTATTGTGGCTTTAAAGTGTATGGTGCGTGTGCGGCCCTCACAGACTCAGTTGTTTGGGTTTTCACATCAGTGTTTACATGGGCTGAGAGTCAAGGTGCTCTAATTTCAAGTGTGTTTAAGATAAAACCTGATTATTCAGTGATTTAGAAATTAGACCTAGTGGTATAGTAGTATTCAAACAAATATTTTTCCTTTTCTGTATCCTATCTTTAAAACATTAAGATCTGTTTACCGGAAGTCTTCTCGGGTCCACAGGGATTTTCTCGTAGTGTTCTCACACATCCGTTGTGAACCGTCTCTGCCAAGCGTTTCAGGTCATGTTCAGATTTATCCACAAGTTCAGCATCGCGAGCAATAGCGTCCAACCTGAATAAAGTCACAACATTATTGCATTTTGTGGTCATTTAATAAAAACAGTAAGTAAATGTAATGTAGAATCTAATGCAGCTTACCTTTCGAGGGGTCCTCCAAATTTTTTGTAACTCTTGACAAACCTGTCAGTAGTTCACAACTATGTTAGTAGGAGCATGTGTTGATAAATAGCAACACAAACAAAATGTTTGACGATATATTCACCTCCGGATCTCAGCATCGCTAAAACCCTTGATATTTTCTCGTGGAATGGTCCGAGGCCGTCCTCGTTTCTTTGGCCTCTTTCGGTCGGAGGGGGAGTCGCTGTCAGATCCAGAGTATCTCCTGTTTCTGCTCTGCCGGCTGTCATTAGCGTTAAAACTGATCTGTGAACACAAACCAACCAAAATCATCTGGAGATTCCTTAAGAACTCAAAATGTGTAACACCACAGAAGTGACCGTGTCGTCTGAAAACTTAAATAGAAAAACCAATCACAAGTCACGAGCAGCCTTGCCAGTGCTCAGTCTGTGTCTACACAGAAGGTGATCAAGCTCAGTATTCAGCTATAGGTAATCCATGTTTTGGAACCACTGACAGCCTATTACACAATCACAACAGTTACACGTGTAAAGTGCGGGAAAACAGATCCGAGCTTGTGCCTACAGCTGTGTTTACGGTCCTATGGCACAAGTAAAATACAAGCCATTATGCTGCATGCAGAAAGAATAACTAAATAGAAGAATGCCTGAAACACTTTCTGTGCAGACAGGTTGTGATTGTATTCGGTAGTTTTGTTTGTGTACCTGTTTGGCACAATTCCTCATGCGTGGTAGCATGTAGATTTCTTCCAGCTCCTTCTGTCTCTCCTCCTCTTCCATCCTCCTCCTCTGTTCCTCAGGAATGATGTCATCCCAACTGCGTTGACTTCGTTCAGAGTCAATGTCTATTTCCTCATCCTCCATCATGGAGAAGTTGGCCACCTACAAATGTAAGGTCAACAAAAGGTCTGAGTAACAGAGGATACCAATGTTAAATTTTGTTCAAAAAGTTTTTAAAACAAGAAGAATTTTTCAACCTTGAACTGAGACAGCAGTTCTTCTCCGACTGTGGAGGGTCCAGGGTCATTCTCCCTGGTCTCAGCTCTTTTGAGGATTTCGTCAATGTCCATCTCCTGTTGAGCAGAACAAGCCATTGCGTGGTACTTTACATTAATTCAGAAGAAACAGTGATTATGTACAATATGTTACAGACATTCATAGGATTATCTGATGTTTAGATTCTTATCCATCACAAACTATCATCTGGGAAGTGTCTAATTGGCCCCAAATTCATTGTGTAGCATGATAACCACAAATACGCAGCTGGAGTTATAAATAACTTTTTAGACTGACAAGGAAAACAAAGCACAACATGGTACGACTTAGAAAGAGACAGACGCACAGAGACATTCTAACTCAACAGCAGAACTGTGGCAACTTCTCCAAGACACTTGAAACAATCTACTTTAAAAGTAACTAAAAAATAAAAATGTGTGAATGTGCACGAAGGAGAAGTGTTGTAGTTCTAGCGAATGCTCTTACCAGATACTATGCTATAATACTTTGATTTAGCTTTTGTTTTACTTTGCAAAATTTTTGAGGCGTACTTTTTTAGTCTCACCACTTTTAGTGATGAGACTTGTATGTACGTGCATATACATACCTGAGGCTCCTGCTCTTCACCTTCTGGCTCTTTGAAAAGCTCTTCAGCACCAAATTTCAGGATGGCAGACAGCTCCTCCTTGTTGAAAGGTGCTGAACTGCAATAACAAACACATTTAAGTGAGCTCTACTAATTTAAGTGTTTGAGTGTAAACGATGTAGTCGACAAGCACAGAACGTTTAGTTCAAGAGGAACACAAGAAAAAGGAGGAGAATTGTTTGAGCAACAGAACGTGGTATATGTTGCTTACCTAGATGGAGCAGCACCAGTATGGAGAACAGTTTTCCCCGTGGTGTCCATCCTCTGAATGACAAGGTGGTCAAGCACCATTTTCTTCTTTGCCCTCTCAATGATGTCCTCTTCTACTGAACCTTTTGTCACCAGACGGTAGATATTCACCTGCCAGTGCACAAGCAACCAGTGAGACACACACAATATACCGTGTACATGAACACAACAGCATCTGTACTGTTCTGTGCATTTGGATAAATGAATTAGTTTATCTCTACTAGCAATGATTTGAGCAGAAATAGGAAGCTCTCATAATCCCACATATCCAGAATATAACTGTAATACTGTAGAAAAGTGATATTTACAACGGTGGCAAACTACAGAAGTATTCAAGTATTTGATACATTTTTTTAATGCTACTTCACACTTTACGACATTTTAATGGGAAATACTGTACTTCTTACTACTCCTATTTGATTGCTTGTTTGTTTTTAAGTTACTTTTTTTTGTTGCAAAACATGTCATGACCTTATAAATATAATGCACAACAACAAAAATGTACAGGTTGTTAAAATTTGTACCAGCTGCAACAAATATATAACTTAGCATATGAATTGATACCGCTGTACTTTTACATACATACTTTTTTTGTCCTTTACATGTAACAGAGTTTTTCTAAATCGCATAATTGTTGCTTCTTCCATTTCTAGATAGCCGCCTACTGTGAGTTCATTGCTGTCCTCACCACATATTTGTAATCTTGACCAAACATTAAGCTCTATCAGGAATGAGGCAACACTTAATCTCCAACACTCTGCAGTCATTTGTGTTAATGCCAAAATAATGTTTCCGTACTGCTGCTTGACAGATTGCTTTAGTGTTTCACTGGCACAGGTGCAGTGCTTAGCACCATTGCCTCACAACTCAAAGGTCCTGGGTTCAAATCTTGGCCTGGGGTCTTTCTGTGTAGGTGTGAATGTGAGTGTGCTTGGTTGTATGTCTCTATGTGGCTCTGTGATAGAGTGTTGATCAGTCCAGGATGTATCCTGCCTTCACCCTAAGTTAGGCAGGATAGACTCAAACCCCCCGTAACCCTTCAGAGGTTAAATTAGTGTATAGAAAATGACTGGATAGACTTATTTTACTGGCCATCTAGTCTAAGGTTTTCTTTCTTCTTCTTCTTTTTTTTTTTCTACTTGCAACCTAATACATGGTTTGTGATACTAATGACAGCTTGTATACCTGCAAAAAAAAGTCATAACAGCAAACAAAGAAGTGGAAATGGATCAAGATTTGTGATAGTTTCTGCTGACCTGTCTTTTCTGTCCGATCCTGTGGGCTCTGGCCTGTGCCTGCAGGTCATTTTGAGGGTTCCAGTCTGAGTCGAAGATGACTACTGTGTCAGCTGATGCCAGGTTGATACCCAAACCACCCGCACGCGTAGACAACAAGAAGCAGAAATCCTGTGCACACAAGTTGAAGTTCACTTTGTGTAAAAGTTCTATTCTATCTAAATAATAACTTCTATTATTTATTAACTTATTGACTGTGACGAGAGCATAGAGTTTACTTTACCTCCGAGCCTTCAGCATTGAAATGATCCAGCGCCTGCTTCCTCATCTCCCCTTTAATGGAACCATCTAATCGCTAAACAAATTTACAACATCTTGAATTAAAACATTTATGATACACATACATGCGATTATTTTCTAGTTAGCTGGAATGAAATTCTCTGTTTTCTTTTGTAAAGCATACCTGTGCGTGTAGGCACAGTATATATTATGGCTGTGTACGAGCAGTGTGAAGCTACCTGAAAGAGGAACTGTCGGCTCCTCAGATATTCAGCCAGGATATCCAGCATCCGCACCATCTGGGAGAAAATGAGAACTCTGTGTCCTCGCTCCTTTAAACGCACCAGCAGTTTATCCAACAAAACCAGCTTTCCGCTGGACCGGATCAGTTGCTGTCAGAGGAAAAGAGGGGCTTACAGTTATTAGTATATTCTCGCCACGAAATCACATGAAAGCAATAATGTATATACACAGCTGTGTTCATCTGATATGCTGATGAAAATACCTATACCTCTGACAGTTTGCTGTTCTGCAAATTACAAGAAAGTCAGCAAAAGAAATTTAAGTGACAGCTCATTTTACCCATTGAACTCATTTAACTCTTAACACTTTATATTTTATGATCGTATCATTGAAACCCATGCATCTTTGTTCAGACAGGTCTTCATATCTTCAGAAGACCTAGCAAAACAGATAATTGTTTTTTTGTGACAAAGGTGGATGGGTTTCAGTGACTCATCAAAGAAATATCTGTGTTACATACATGGTCTTTACAAGTGTGTGTAAACTTTCATTCACAACTGTAGTTGCTATTTAAATTCAATTCAATTTTATTTATATAGCGCAATTCACATGTCATCACATAGCGCTTAACATAGTAAGGTGAAGACCTTACAAATTACTGTCATTTTTAACAAGTGAAGTCAGCACACCCGCATATCCCCTTTAAAGAACTGCTGACGTATACCAGTGGCTTTCTTGTGGGAAGTAAAGCTTTTCCAATGTGACAGAGGCAAATAACAAGTCCCTGTTCATGCAACATTACTGCAGCATCTTGCTGCTTTTCTAACAACAGTTGTGTAAAATGTTACTGTGTATAAATGTTACCAGCAGAAACACAGAGCTAGGCTTGTTTGTATTTCTTTAAACCAACCAAAGTCATCACACGTGGGGCTAAGCAAAGTATGTGGCTTTGGTGTTCTCTCAATACTGAGGGGTGAAATTCTTGTGGTGGAACATTTGCATACAGGGAGAGAGGCACTGATTAAAGTGATAACCCCTCCCAAAAGGATACAATCCCTTTACCAAACTATCAGTTTCGCTGTAGATTGCTGCCCAGAGGTTTCACAGATAGGGACAGACGGGCTGATTAATGTCTGACTAACACTGCAGACATTATGGTTATGGTAGGAATCACAATTTTTCTAATTGTTTGACTTTTGAAACGATTCTCGATGCCTGATGCTCGTGACAAAGCAGTTGAAGGTAATATGGTGTGCTTTAAAATTACTTCTCTATCCTCTCCTTGTTAAACATTTACATGCACACCAATTTCACAGTTTTAACCTTTATCTTGTTTTGATTATTATGATCAAAGCAAAAGATTCAGATCCCTGCAAACATGACGATACATCTAGTTGGGTGTCTTACAACTAAGATGTGATATCTATGATGAAATTAATATTAGATTTTGATAATTAAAACCTTAACAGAAAACTTTGTTGCCACACAATGACAAAATAAATACCTGTAACGCTTCAGCTCTGTTGAGAAACTCATTGTCCTCTGGGGGCTTGATAAGGTAACAGTGGTTACAGCACTTCTTCAGCTCCATCATGATGTTGAGAAAGCCCGACGTGCTGCCTTTGGTACCTTTACTCAGAGCTTTGTAGTTCCTGGTCAGGATCCATCTAATCACAAAAAGGAGGCATATACATGAGGCTCGTAACATAATATTTACAAAATGTCTAGCAACAACTACACCACTCACAAAAAGTTAGGGATATTTGGCTTTCAGGTGAAGTTAATGGAAAATGTAAAAAGTTCACACTACAGCGGTATTATATCATGAAAGTAGGGCATTTAAGTAGAAGCATGCGATGGTGATTTCCTCATCTCAAGCAATTAATTGAAACAAAAGCCAACAACAGTGGTGGATATATCCATCGGTATATCCATCCATCCATCCATCCATCCATCCATTTTCTTCCACTTATCCGGGGTCGGGTCGCGGAGGCAGCGCACGGAGCAGGTCATTCCAGACATCCCGCCCCCCAGCAATGCTTTCCAGCTATTCTTGGGGGATCCCAAGGTGTTTCCAGACTAGCTGAGAAATATAATCCCTCCAGCAGTTTCTGGGCCTCCCTGGAGGCATCCGAATCAGATGTCCAAACCACCTCAACTGGCTCCTTACGAGGTGAACAAGCAGCGGTTCTACTCAGAGCTCCCTCCGGATGTCCGAGTTCCTCACCCTATCTCTAAGGCTGAGCCCAGCCAACCTGTGGAGAAAGCTCATTTTTGGCCGCTTGTATCCGCAATCTTGTTCTTTTGGTCACGACCGAGAGCTCTTGACCATATGTGAGTGTTGGGATGTAGATGGATCGGTAAACGTCTTCACCACGACAGTCCGGTACAGCGGCCGCATTACTGCTGACGCCGCACCAAGCCGTCTGTCCACCTCGCACTCCATTTTCATATTACTCGTGAACAACATCGTGAGATACTTAAACTCCCTTGCTTGGGGAAGGTTCGTCCTGAAATTTCACCCGAAAGTCAAATACCCCCAACTTTTTGAGTAGCGTATATTTACTAGAAATGTCATCTTCACAACCAAGTGACTCTGTATCACACATGCAAGAGGTGATCATCTGATTGAAATGTACACATGCACGCACACATTCATATTTCAGTCGCCCCTTTCACACAGACTCTCCTGGAAAAAAGGCTAATACTTCCCCTTTGAACAGTATGTGGAATGGAGCTATTTTCCCAACAGTAACACATCCACACCACAGAAACTGGCAGTATTTTGCTGGTGCACTCATGCTTCTAAACACACCCTAATATGCTGTAATAACTTTTCTCAACCTGACAGTCAGTGCACATCAAGGTAAGTTGATTTGCAGGAGCATTAAGATGACAAACACTGCAGTGTTTAAATTAAAGGTAGTGTTCAGCTCTTACTTGTAATACTGTTTTTGGATAGCGCTCATCTCTACTCTGAGGATCTGCTCCACTTTAGCTGGCAGAGATTTCTCCACATCCTTCTTGACACGGCGCAGTAGAAAAGGTTCCAGCTCTTTGTGTAGACTGGTGTAGCCCGAGTCCCTGCCTTTACCATGCTCCTCCTCAAAGAGCTCCCAAGAGTGAAACCTTGACAAACCATACATAGAACACATCAGCAGATGCGCAGTGATACAGTAAAAGCAAAGCATGCAAAATGTGCATAAGTTTAGTCATTCTCTCTCTGTATGAAGTGCCTTAAATGTACATTTGTATCATAGTGTTTACTGCAGTCAAGCCCCAAAATCTTCATAACCGTGCCAAATTCCAAATTACGGTAATTTATTTATTTATTTTTTTTTAGACCGAAAGGTTCCTTCTGATTTGATGACAAATAAAAAACAAACTGTGATAAAAGACAATAAGTCTTTGATTTTACTTCTTTGCAGATGGTGTATGCAGACAGCTGCAGACACCACATATGCTCAACTCAGCATCTGTGGTGTCTGCAGTTGTCTGTACTGCTAGTTTCTAATCTGTTATAAAAAAAAATGCATAGTAGATCAAAGTCTACAAATTCTGTGCTGTTATACTACTTTTTCTAACATTTTTACTAAAAAAATGCCATGTCCATAATAATTTATTTTTATACCTGGGTTGGAATGCTTCTCCAAAAGTTACACCTTTGTGTCCAAACAACGCCATTTCCGTCTCTTTGGATCACAAAATTGACGAACAAAAGCTTTCTTCTTTAACCCGGTGAACTTTTACAAAGGTTAGGCAAGGTTTTGGGTACCCTTACAGTTAAAACATCTCTTGCCTTTTGATTATGCTTTCCAATGTGGCCACTGGCACAGCTCTCTGTGGACCCACAAAGGCCATTATACATTTTATGTTGTTAAAGCAATTGTCGTCTCTAAGACTTGGAAATTCACTTTGATGTGAGCCGGAATCGGTAAAGTCATTCTTTAACATCAAATGAAATGAAACTCATTATTTCTCTAATCTGTTCTGGTACATTGATATCACCATCTGTTGTGGTTACGTCTCACCACAGTATAGAGTACGAAACATATTCAAAGCACATCCCTGCAGCAAGGTAGACCCTTAAGTTCGTCTTTAAAAGCAACAACTGATACATGGCTTACTTCTCAGGCATAATGAAGTGCAGGAGGGACCAGAGCTCTTTCAGGGAGTTTTGCAGTGGCGTTCCTGTGATCAGAAGCCTGTGATTGGACTTGAAGTCGATCATGGTCTTGTAGAGGAGGGAGTCATCATTTTTCAGTCGGTGTGCCTCGTCCACTCCAATGAAGGCCCAGTTCACACTTCCCAAAAATGACTGGAGAGAAGAAATACATTCATTTGCATTAAATGTGTGTTGCAAATAAAACAAATTAAGTGGACACAGGAAGATCCATGTGAAGTCGCTGCTTACCTTATCTTTGAGAAGAATCTCATATGTCGTGAGGAGGATGTTGAATTTCAGTCTCTTGCTATGGACGTGTATCCACTCATGTGTTCTGATCTATGAAATGAAAACACAGGAGGAAGTGAAGCCATGCATCTCCATACATCTTAACTTTCAACTATTAGTAGGATTGGGTATTGCTTGTATTTTATTTTTAAATTCTGATTCCAACTTCATTTCTGTTTGTCAGTTCTGGTTCATAACACTGTCAATCCCAATTCTTAGAGGGAAAAGAGATGAGGGCTACTACATCAGTAAAATCATGCTTTAAAATCCACTCATCAGTATTATAATGATGATGATGTGATAAATTGCATTACTGTATGACAGGAGTAATTTTTACTTTTAAAACCACAGTACATCTCACACAATCTGTACCGTTTACCTGTGCATTAAGCAACTCAGCAACAGCTTAATAGAGTAACAGAATAATGCTGGACACATGTTGTATTCAGGCAAAATGCATTGGGAAATGGGAGGTCAGCTCACATGAATAATGGAGCAGACAGATAACAAAAACTGAAATTACACGTTCTTATGGATTCCTTTGAACTCAGTAATTTAGGAACTGGTTCTAAGTTTGAACCAGTTCCTGATGCCCAACCCTAATTACAATATAAAAGCAATATGAAATTGTAGCAGTACAGTTATATTTCATGAAGTTTTCTTTTCTCAGATATGACCTGTTGTAAAGCCTTTGACCCTACTTTGTGTGTAACAAGATGTTTGAACCACCATACCATGTTCCTGCTGCTAATGTCTCCCAGGTAGACCACAACATTCATCTGAGGGGCCCATAGTTGGATTTCCCTCTGCCAAGAGGTTAGTGTAGACAGAGGCACCACTAGCAAGAAGGGTCCATACAGTTGGTGCTCATTAAACAGGTAGTTGAGGAAGGAGATAGTCTGGATGGTCTTCCCTAAACCCATCTCATCAGCAAGGATGCAGCTGTTGCCTCTATGAATTAGGACAGAGTGGAGGAGAGCAACAGGAAATGTTAGATTGCATACATACTCCTAACTTACAGAGCATTTAGCATGTAACAATGGGATATATACCATGTTCCAACATTAGAACCTCAGAAAAAAATAATTACAGAATGGACCTTTCAACAATGTTTGCTAAAAATTGAAGGATTATTGAGCCATACTTGCACCAGGAGTGGGCCATCCAGTTCAAACTGTCCAACTGGTAGTCTCTGAGCTCTAGTCCTTCCCCTCCGATGTAAGTTGGCTGCTTCTTCATGGGCACAAACCTAGGTCTCTGTTTTAGCACCTATAGGAGAGAAAAGCAGCTGCAGAGGTCAGTGTTTGAGTCAAAACTCAGTTAAGTTTATCTTTGGATTGGAAAATAACAACTACAACGACAATAAGTAATATTATCAAGCTAGAAAAAAAAATCAATGAACACCTCACTACTCTACCAAGGTGTATAGCATAACAACATACTGCCACTGTCAGGAGAAACTAGGCCGTGAGTTACCTTGCAGTCTCTAGATGGAATGGTCTTGGACTGGTTTCTGCTCATGTAGTCATCAATGCATTTCTGGAACTTTTTGGCAATCAGACCACCATCCTCCCAGCTACATTCTGAATACGGTAAACCCTGCCACTTGCACAGGTAGTCTGGGTAACCAGCCGCTGACTTCTGATTTGAATGTCCTGTTCAAAGGGATTCAGACACCGATTTAGCTACACAAATCCAGATGTGTCAAATATATTAGGAATAGATAGCTTTATACAGACATCAATACCTATGATTCGCTCTACAAGCTGGTACTGAGAGTGCAGGTCGTCCATTAACTCTTCTTGACAGTTGAAATATTCTATATCCTCTGGTGAAGCCGCCTTTAACCTGATAGATGGGAGGAAAACCATTAGAAGTTAGAACAACCTGTATTCCACTCCTACAGTTTTAGATTTGGGGATTTAGTCAAACTTTTTCCCACAGTAGCACTTGTGCTTCCTACTGAAATTTTTACAAGCACCAGCACAAAATTTAGGAGCAACATGCAACAAAAAACAAAAAAAGAAAAATTGCAGCATTTAAAAAAAAAAATTGACATGCAACACAGCACATCCATCATAACTGTACTACTGATAAATGTTTTGGTCTGTAAATGGCCCATTACACGACTACAGTTCGCTGATTTGTTGTTAAGGGAAAAGCCACAAAAAGAAGAAGTACTTAAAAACCATGTGTGGACAAGAGGAGTCAGGCGGAGTTTGGCTCCTCTTAAGACAGCAGTGCCATGAAAACATTTGTGAAATTTTGGGAGACCTTCAAACTATTGAGAGGATGCCATAACGCACAACATTTTAAATTGTCTTTATCTTCATTATCAGAGCTTACAAGTTATTTATATGTGTAAAATTGGGCAAATATAAATGTGTATTTAATTAATGTAAAAAAAAAAAAAAGTTTTTGTAATGAACAAAATTGGTTAAGAACAGAACTCTGAACAAAGTTAGAGATTGCAAATGTAGTATTTTTTTTTTACATTTCATTTCTTTTATGTATGTGTGCACAAGTACAGAGATTGTTAAGAGTAGGTATGTGTTTGGCATGATTTGGTTATTGAATTGACCAGGAATGACCCCTGAGACTTCTGTCTATCATGTGGTTATCATTATGTTTCTGTGAGTAGTGTTCCCTGTTGTGCAGTGGTCAGAACACTGTCACTGGCAATGTGTAAAACTGTAACGCTGTGATAAAGTTTAATCTAGCAAGAAGTTCTCAGTTTATATAAAACAAAATAAAAACACTCACCATTTCTTTTTCTCCTGTTCCTTCTTCTTGAAATTGTCCAGTTTCTTCATGCCTTTGACGTTCTGTAACTTGAGTGTCTCCTCAGTTTCCCAAGTGTTGTGGATGTGGGCCCAGTTCTTCCACTTGATCAAATATTGGACCTCACTAGCTTCTTTGTTGTGATTGAAGTTGGCATTGGGATCCCCATCTGCTTCTATAGCGTATACAGTGGTTACACTTCCTGTTGCTGTTGGAATAAAATGAAAGGGTTACAGTGCAACATATTTCTTGTTTCACCTCTAAAACATTTGCTCGGTTTTGAAGGTGAATAGTTCAGAGCCACAGGATGTTCAAACCGTGTTTGTCACACAGAAGTCACTGTTTGTAACTGTCCACAAGACAGTAATTTTTGAGATTTCTAGTCTTTTTACATTACGTTACAATCTCATACATTTTTGAATTCATATGGCCATTAAAACTGATTAAAAATACAATAAGTAAGATGTTAAAAATGTAACTTTAAAAATATACAACTTTAAAATTAATGTTTGATTAAAAATGGAATGTTTATGCAATGCCGCTTATTACAATGTGTAATAATTATGGAACTATCTACAATGTTTGATGGTGGAAGAATGAAACAGGTCACATGATCACGGTTTGGTTAAGGGTCACACCAGTGGCATTATGGGTCAGTAGCAACACAGCGGTCGAGGGAAAACCATCCAGCCCAAAATAACTATTCTGGCCAGTCTAAGAGGCGTGCACATTAAATTGCAACTTTTATTTGTTTAATATTTGTTTGTATTATTTGCTGAAGTGCTTTTGAATGGAGAGTTTAATGCAATGTTGTTGCAAGCTCGCATATTTGGACCCATCGATCAACTGTGCATCGCAAAATATTTGTACGTTGATTGAATGATTGAACCATAATTAAATTTGTTTAGTGATGCGATGTGGGGTCAATCTATGACTCTACTTATGTTTGGGAATCCAGTGATGGCGTGAAGTCTCTGATTTGGGCTGGTTGGTGATGGTTGTAAAGGAACTGGGTGTAGGATGGGGAGAGGGGAGTTACGGCATCCAGCACTGCCGGCATGATCCGGCTCAGTGATGGCTGGAAAATGCCGCATATGTCTCCAACCTCACGCTGGAATGTGCCGGTGGTCAAAATCCCTTAATGCTTTGTATTTGTGGTTTCACCATTATACCGCTAGATTATGTGCGTAAGCATGGTCAGAGTTGTTCTTATATTTACGCACATTCCTAAGTATAAGTACAAGTTGATAAATTCAATGCTTTGCGTGGGAATGTTTGTACTCATTCATTACGCACACATCTGTGCGGACGCACTGATGATAAATGAGGCCCCAGGTTCTAAGCATTGTCCCGACCTTCCTTAATAACTGTCTAAATCGCAAACTGCACCTGCACCTCTTAAAATTTGAGGATAATCCTTAAATGTGCTAAACTGGCTGAATGTCTGTTAAAAGCACCAATTTAATCACACTGGATGACATTATCAATCATGGTACTGTTTTCCTTACCTCTTTTTCTTCCTATTCTGCAGTCCATCACTCTCTCTAGTGTTTCAAACTCATCTTCCTCAGGTTGCGGGACATCTTCCCCCAGAACCTCCACCAGATCATCTGAGTCTGTTTTCAACTCTTCATCCTCCTTGTAGCTAATGTTGACTGTGGCCTGCCGACGTGGCCCTGCAGATGCCACCTTCTTGTAATTGTCATCCTCTTCGTCAGAAGACGAACATTTCTGGGCTTTCTTCCTCTGGGTGCTGCTTTTCTTTCCATTTCGAAAATTCATCCTGAGATACAACAAAATGCGAGAGATAGCGCAACAACCAAGTTAAACAAAAGCCACTCTCTGTATTTCTTTCCAAGTTGGGTTGAGCATTGATACTCATAAAAAAAATTGAATTTCTGTAGGTGTACCGCAAACACTGACTGTATATTTGTTGCCATCCAACTGCATCATTACCTATGTGAATTGAACGCATGCATGTCTCCTGATGCATTTGTCCTAATAAATCATGAGTCTAGCATTCGTCTCAGTTATTCTGCCAAGTTGTTTGATTAGCAGGGAAACAGCGAAAATTGTGTGATTATCTTGTAACAATCACCTTAACTTAGCAAATGCCACAATCTGCTTTACGAGAACAGAATGGGAATCCACTATCGTTACAGTAAAGTAACCAAAGTAACAGAACACAGACACAACGGTTTTGATTACTTCATCAAGCTGTGTGTCTGTGTCCAACTTCCATTTGTGGCAGGTGACACTTTGCAAAAGAACGTAGGTAAATGCTGTTGTAACACTACATGAACAGAATGCACAGTACAACTGACTAAAATAGTGGTAGCAGCTTTACTAACCCTTACAGCAACACTTCTGACTGTAAGTGCTGCTGTTTTTCTCACACACCAGGAGAAACTCACTTCTCACAACACTCATTTAAGCCACAACAACAACAATACGCAGTTAGACTGTGATTGTGCAAATCCCGTTTCTAAAAAAACATAGTGTTCGTTCACCTTGCCAAACAAAGATGGACAGTGGTGAACGAAGCACTGAAGTAAAAGTACTAACACAACAGTGCAAAAGTCCTGCATTGAAAATGTTACTTAAGTAGAAATACACCAATATGATCAGGAAGCAGTGAATCTATTTGAAAAACACAGAAAAGACAGGCACAAAACCAAGATGGATGCCTAATCCTGGATAGCAAAACACAGCAAATTTAGAATTATTCTGATTCAAACTAAACTTTTTCAACAACTGGGCCCTGGCAACCAGTTAATGGCATCTGCTCACGTACTTGGTTGGAGGCTTCCTGCTTTTGCTTTTGTGACTGGGCTCATAGTCTGAGGCAGTTTCATCACTGTTATCCTCTGCTGATGAGTCGGATCCAGAACCACTTGCAGATCCAGAGCCAGATCCAGTGTCAGAGGAGCCAGAATTTCTTCTCCTTTTAGATCCACTTGATGAGTCAGATTCATCACTACTTGAAGAGTCCTAAAAAAGAACATCACCAAAGGCACAACATGGATGAATAATCAAAAAGTGACCATTTAGGCCAATTCACACTTTCCACGCCTGCGGTACGCATGATGTAAATTGCATCATCTACTCAAGTCCACAAGACTCTGTGTGTGTGCAACATCTGTGTGTAGCCAAAAGTTAGTGGCCACACGTTCTGTATACACTATAAATGCACTGACTGTACATGTGCCAGGAAAACAAATGGTGCTTAAACCAAATGTCTGGTATGAGGACAGATCGTACAAAGAGAATCCTGGCCATCAACACCTTGATTATTCATCATTAATAGATTTGGAATTTAAGTCGTAGTGATTTGTACGTGCTTTCTGTCAACAGAAACCCAACAAAGTAAAAAGTCCTTATTTCTCCAGAAATCCTGCGCTATGTTCACAAACTGTCCCCGGCACACCTCAGGAATATTCACTGACACAGTGCTAAACTGTCACAAGTAAGTAACTGTTATCTCCTCGTGTGTTTTTCTGTGTGCCATACGACCATGTAGCAGACCAGCATGGCATTATAGCACTATGAACAGAGACACATCTGCAGTCTGCTTATCAGCCTGCAAACACAGACGCGAAAAGCATGAATTGGCCATTACATTTAAGTACACCATTGACATCTCCAATTACTGTTGATTCCCTGCTCGTCAATGAACAGGGAAAATGTGTACTGAGGACCAGTTTGACACATACCTCATCAGACCCACTATTTGAAGAGCTTTGTCTCTGTTGCTGTTGCTGCTGCTGCTGCTGAAGCTGCTGTTTCCTGAGCATAGCAGATCTTTGCACTGCGAGGATGCTTGGGTTCGACTTCCAGAACTGCAAGTAATTAACGTACTCAGAGGTTAGTCAAAAAGATGTGATAACATTAAGAAGCTTTTACGAGGCAAGAGTCAACCATTATGTTAAACACCCTTAATAAGATAAGATAAGATAACATGCATGCCTTTGATCACATACTGAAAATATGTTAAACAAAGTGATTACAATTACTGCAGAGATGCAGTAAAATGCAGAGTTCCCTGTACAGTTCAGTAGTTTGACGCTGATTATATGAATTAAGCCTACACATAATGTTTGAACACTTCCATGTCAGAATAATTCCATATTATCCGCACGTCTAATTGCAGTAACAAACAGCCTTCCATAGTTTATTTTTAAATTACATTTCCTTACCTCAGCTCCATCAATGTGTGACTTATTTGGTGGTTCAATCTTATCCTTGGATTTCTCTGTTTCAGAATCTGACTGGCTGCCAGAGTCTGATCCACTTCCTGAGTCACTGCTCCCTGATTGGCTGCTGCTGCTGGAGGAGCTGGAACTGGAGTCTGAACCGGACCCTGACGCAGAACCCGATCCAGAACCGGATTCATCATCAGAATTACTGTAAAGAGAAAATTGTAGAATGGGACATTTTTGCACAAGTAATTCATACATGAATGATTTTCAAATCAGAAAGTTTCACCAAGTCTAAAGGCTTAGATATGGTGAATATACTGTTACTATTATCACTATATTGTCAGCTGTATCATTTAAGATGCCATTTTAGATGATTCTCAACAAATATATTCTCATGTACTTTTTAAAATAGTGGATAAATTGATTTTACCTTGAGTCTCCACTGCTGTTGCTTACACTTTCATCCTCACTGCGTCCAGCCATGTTGAAGTCCAAAATATAGACCTCCCCCTGTCGACCTGTAGTACAATGTTCCACGTGATTTACCTTTAAGAAATGATACACATTAATAACATTAGACACATTGTTTGAGAAATGCAGAGACTATGCTGTAATCAAAGCAGACTAATTCATTCATCATGCCTTCCCCAACAGTATACATCAAGAGAGCCTGATTAAATGCTAGAATTTGGCTCAATAGGGCAAAATAACACAACACAGGTACTCGTTTTCATTTCGGTACACGATCTCTGTCCAACTAATCCACCTACATGAAGGTTCAGTCAATGGACTGTCCTTGCAAAGACGTCAACACATTTGAACGAGCTGTAGCTAAAAAAAACAAAACAACAAAAAACTAATTCTAAAGTCATTTAAGCCCTTTACTTCTGAGAGAAGTTAACCTCTCTGTACCACCGAAACACTTCTATGGAGACTTTAATTTAAAACCGGAACAAACAGACCTGTGTGAATAGCTGTAAGTACATGCAACTTGGCTGGACGATATTTGTTCCCTCACCGCAGAGGCCTATCAGGCCTTTAAAGCACCAGCTTGTTTCCACCTTCACGTAAAGCTCCGTGAGCACTCGAAATGAACACAAAATCGCAACAACAACAAAAACATCCCATAGTTATTGGTCCTATGTCGCCCTACGTGTCATCAATTTAGAGTATCATTTAGTTTCAGTTTGGCTACAGTTTAGCTTCTTGTCGTTAGCTAACTAGCGAATACCGGCTAATGACGCCAATATTTGCTATTGGCGGGGTACGTTAGCCTGTCTTCAGACACTACTAACACGCCAGCTAGTATTTTATCTCCAAAATAAAAGCTATAACTACATCATGTAGCAGTCTGTATTTCCATATTACCACCAGCTTGATTATTTCTTGCCACTTGCGACAAGTGGATGATGTTTCTTGTGTATGTCCAATTACGGTTTGCTAGCTCCTGTGCGTTCTGCGTGTTATGGTTCTGAGTTAGTAGACCTTACTATTTGTTTAACAATTAAAGCAAAAGTTGCCGTTTTAGGTCCACAATGTGTGCTACATCCAAATCGCTTAAATGTCAAATGCAGTGCGATTTTTTTCCGTATTTCAGCTGAACGTGGGTGCAGTAAACATGAAGGCAGAGGTATCGCAGCCCTACGTTTACTCGGGTTGTCAAGGAAAGTAGCGTTAGCTCATGTTGTAAAGCACGCGGCTAGCACGGAAGCTAACAAAATGATAAAACTTTGCGCCAATATGCAACCACTGGAATGTTCGATTTCCGGTAACAGACGATACTCTGCATTTGACCATCAATTAAATTCTACTATTCAAATGTCTGCAGAAACAGCGGGGACAGAAAGAGTGTTTAACTTGTTTGGTATTCATTATAAAACCCACAACCCCAAATTGGCTAACCTAACTTCACCCTCTTCCATCTTGTTTTCATTCGTCGCTGACTTCTCGCGGCTTTTACCACATCAACATGCAACGCTAGCTAACTTTCTCGCTCAACTAAGGAATAAGTACCACCACGCTGTGTGGTACTTGGCGTTATTTTGTGTTACCTGTGAAACTCTTAGAAAACACTTGTCTAAATCCGCCTTTCCACTTCAGAGGTCCTTTCTTCTTTTATTTAGCTGGCGAGCAAGCAGCTGCGGATAGCTAATGCTACCGTCTGCTTGCTAGCTAGCTATCTCCCGGTTAGGGAGAGCAGCCCACAACGAGTCAGTTCGATAGAACTGGCGGAATGTTGGTTTTCCTCTCCGTCCAAAAATCAAGTAAGTCCCCTTAGCTGGTTTGGATGTATGCAAAGTCTAGTGCCCGTCGGTCAGCAGCGATTGTAGAAAGCTGGCATCTCAATCCAGAGTCTTCCGACAACCGGCCTCCGCCATGACGCCGTAGGGTTCACTTCACTAGGAAACCCCGGACAGTGACGTAACGACTGTGCTCCTTACTACACTGCAACATCAATAAACATCTGGCACCGGTTTTTGTTTGTTTGTTTGTTTTACACATAAATAATCCTTCATCCTTTTATCAGATGGTAAAATACGTTGCTAAACTTCAGCCTCAACAACAGGGCTATGAAACGTGTTGCAAGAATTGGGATACTCATAAAGCCTCCATCCCAGTATTCCTGGAGTCCTTCGTGCATCCAGCCGTAGAGCTGCCCTGTGTGTGATCTCCACCAGACGACACACCGGTCTTTGTAGCGTGTATTGCTGCACCGCTGCAGGTCTCTTAGGGTTGTAGCCTGTAGGAATGTTTCCTACGTAGACAAAATGCATCCCAGTTAATCTCCCTCCGTAAAACCAACTACAACAAGTAACGATCAGCTATCTAACACAAATTAAACTGTTTACTCAGCACCAGGCGAATTGTCTCTAAATCCAACCTCAGAACTTTTATTGCTTTTGGTATTTTGATGCACTGAAGCACTTGAGACTTTGTAAATATCTTTCTTATCTCGAAGTTATAGTTTTTGTACCGTGTTTCTGAAAACATGACAATAAAAGTCAGTGAAGAGAAAATTATTCTGTCTCACATTTGGGTGAAGGTGTGTTTTCAGTGTCATGTGTAGCATCAGACTGCTTTCTGACATGAACTGAACCTCAAGTCAAGTCAAAAAATCGTTATTTCTATTCCACATTACATACCTAGGTAAACCAGTGCGTTTTACTGTTAAACATCAAAAACATTAAAGAGTTAAATTTTATATATGCAC